AAAAAAAAAATAATAATAAAATTGAAGTGTATTGGAAAAATAGCGGAAAAAGTGTTTTCAAAATGTTTGATCACGTAATTGTCACTGCTCCGTTAGGTCTTGTCCGTCATTGGGATTTACCTTTAAGTAAGCACTATATAATTTTTTGTTATTTATTACATTCTTAAAGAAATTTATCTTGTAAACTACAATTGGAATTAAAAATATTTATTATTGTCTTTATCACTTAATAGCATTATCATATGGAAAACGAAGTGCAATTCGTGAAATAGATTATGCATTCGCAGGAAAAATATTTCTTCAATTCAAATCACGTTTTTGGGAAAAACCTCCTAATGAAACTGGTGCTAATCCTACAACTTCTAATGTTGGAATTATTGGTGGTATTACACACACTGACCTTCCTATTCGTCAGTTGATTTATCCTTCATATTATCAAAATATGTCTGCTGATAATCCTGGTGTCCTTTTAGCATCTTATACTTTCAATAATGATGCAGTAAAATATGGTCAATTCAGTGAGGAAGAACGATTTGAACTCGCATTAAAAGATTTAGCAACTATTCATGGTGCTATTGTATATAAAGAGTGGATTCCAGGTAAAAAACATAATAAGGCTCAATATTGGTCGAATGATAGAACTATCGGAGGTGCTTATGCTGAATATGCAGTCTCACAAATAAAATCACTGGGTGCCATGATGAGGCCGGAAGAATCTATTCATTGGAGTGGGGAACATACTGACTTACATTGGGGTTGGACTGTTGGTGCTTTAAATTCTGCAGTAAGAGTAGTCAGAGAAATACTGCTTGAAAATTTAATGGGTGATAAATGGTCTGAATTAAATAATACAAGATTATTAAAATATTGGAATGGAAATCTTAATGCTTTTGAAGGCTATTAAGATGCATATTTATCTTGTATACTACTGTAGTAGATAGAATAATGAAACATAAATTATGTAATATTTAAATCTTAAATTTTATTTAAATAATAATATTTTAATAGATCTTTATTGCATAGTAACTAGAACATGATCATACGGGGGCTTCGCCGCCCATAATATGTAAGATAATAGATTTATTTGTTTTATTCTTATTTTTATTTCAGAAAGAAAATTTTTCTTAAATTCCGTCTTGAATTTAATGCACCAATTTAAGCCTCTCCAGGGCTAAAGCTGGTGCATTAAATTTAAAGCATTTTCATTCCGTCATTAGATGTTCCGTCTTGAATTTAATGCATAAATTTTGGGCCTCTCCTGAGCCAAAGCTGATGCATTAGATTTAAAGCATTTCCTTCCCGTCATTAAATGTTCCGTCTCGACTTTGATGAACCAATTTGGGCCCCTTCGGGGCCAAAGTTGTTGCATTAGATTCAAAGCTGGGGCATTAAATTTAAAGCTTTTATTTGTCATGTGAAACGATCATACTGTGATCCGTACAGTCGTAGGATTACCATACCTGAAAATAAAACAGTTACTAGATGTTACACATCCATATATTCTGATCTGAATCTAAATTGCTATTGGTAAATGAATATGAGTGCCGCCAGTCATTGGACTTTCAATTATATTTATCATGGCTAAGGGAAGTGTCATTTATCACCTGATTATTTTAGAATGGGGTTCCCTAACAAAGTATCATGTACATTGGTATACGATTAATCAGTTTTATTATTGTTGGAAATGAATGTAGCGAAAATGATTGGGACCCATAAACTTTATCATGTAAGGGGGGATATTTACTATTTACAAAAAATCAGGTGATAAATGACACTTCCCTAACTGTACACAAAATATAATTATAAGTCCGATAACCGGTTTTCCTTTAGCGGCACTCATATAGTAATAGTGCACATTTTCAGAATGGGACGAAGCATGAAATTGATCTCCTTTGCACAGATAAAATGACAAATCACGTAATTTTTGGCACCCAGAAAATGTGTACCAGGTTGGATTGGATAATCGTTCGGATGATAGTCTGGATTATGGTCCGGAGATTAGGTCTTGATTTTTTTCTGACGATAAAATTTTATTTTTCAACTAAATAACGATCATATAAAGCAATATTTAACGCAATTTACAACGTATATACAATACATAGAAATAATAAAATAATTTGAAGTAAATATTTTTCAAATATAACTTCATTTCTGTTTAATCATTTGGTTTTAGTTTATTTGTTTAACCATTCGGTTTGTTTTTTTTGTGATGTTCCTCAAAAAATTATATATTGTACAATCGACTCTAGATAATTTCATAATAGTTCGGTATAAAAAGTCCATATGTTTTTAATAAAATATAGTAATTTTTTATAACAACCTTTTTTTTTTCTTCCAGAATCTTTTCTTTATAGAAAGAGTTGATTGCACTCCTTTTGTGGTTAATCTTTTATTATACTTGTTCATCTTAGATTAATTGTACATGATTTTTTTTTTAAATTGATGCTGCAAAACTCTAATTTTTGACCTACTTCGACTGTGATAAGGAATCTTGTTGAAATAGATAAGGCACTAACTTGCCCATCGATAAATATTTAGATTTTATATACTTT